AAGGAAATGATAATGTTGATATGGAAATTTTGTTTTTTATTTCAATTTATTTTTATTGTTACTATCTACCAGAATTTTTTTGGTAAATTAAGATTTGATAGCGTCCTTGCTAAAACGGGACAAATAAGTAAAGATCCAGTTTACATCTAGAAATTGACGATGAGGGTCGGTTGAGAGAAAGAAACTTCTAGTATGCGACAAAAGTGATGATTTAAGCTTCCCAATTGTGAACTTTCCATTTCTATGTAGCAACATTCCAACAGCGTCTGCATATGGAGTATATGTATCTCAGTTGATATGATATTCCAGAACTTGCATTTCCTATCATGATTTCCTTGATATATGGTTTCTGCTTATACGGAAGTTATTAGACCAAGAGTTCGGAGTTCCAAGTGGTGAGGTTGAAATCATCACTTCGAAATTTTACGGACGCCATCACGAAATGGTTGACCGTTATGGAATAACTGTTTGACAGATGGCGACGGATATGTTCTAATTGTTGTAAACACAACTCCTGTCCTCTTTTCCTGTGACCTACCGACCTAGACTTATATTATCATCGGTTTTGTACTTACTCGAGCAACACGACGAGTGTCACATGTGAAGCAGGATTTGCTTACCCTTCCGGAGCACCTGAGATCACCCATGGATTTTGCTGTGTTATAGTGTTGTTTAGTCCTTGGTCGTCTATGTTGTGTTTTCTGTACTGTTGTTTTGGTCGTTTTTCATTTTTTGCCATGGCATTGTCAGTTTGTTTTCGACTTATGAGTTTGAATACTCTTTTGATATCTTTTGTCTCTCATCTACACGGAAGATTATATTTTGACACTAGATTTCCAAATGTAAGTAACGTGGCTTTTCGCGGTACTTACGGGGGAATAACTCATTTGATTGAAACATGTGAAAGTACTTTCTGTGCAAATCTTTTATATTTTAAAAATATGTTCCCTTGAAAATTTTCTGTCGTAGGGGACGACCATTTGATTTTATGGGGGAGGGGACAGAAGGGTTTTATAAAAGAATATCCTGGCCTGGAAAGAGCTGAAAATGAATAAACTTACATAGGATAGGATGAAAATGAATATTCTGAAACACAAAATGCAGTAAACAATTGTGTACAAAAGTGCAAATTAATTATCGCGAGGAAAAAAGCATGCGTAGCAGCAGATGAGAATGAATAGTGAATCCACAAATAAATCCTCCTGCCTCCCCCTAATGAGTATCAAATAATCGTCCCCTTACTGAGACATGTAACTGAGTTTGGACAGTTTAAAACATCTACTTTAACAATATGTTATCTGCTCACAAATTGCGAATTAAATTTGAGAGATACTGGTGTGCCAGGTTCTCTTCAAATGAGGTTAAAGACAAAGTTCAATATATATTTAAATGTGACACCCATCTACTAAAACGAGAAGAATTGATGCAAAGTATATTAGAGTCATTTCCAAAATTCCAAGATTTAGATACTAACAACAAACTAGTTTGGATATTGAATAATCCGGCTGCACTATTTTCATTTTATGAATATGTAAATGATACTGATGATTAAAAATACATAATCTCCACAACTCCTCTCGGTTGCTTCTTTAAATAATAGTTTAGATACTGTGCTAAGCCTGCATTGAGCATAAGACGAATTGTATATTATGTGACACCGTTCATTGATGATTATTACTGGTCTAAAACTGACCCCATTGTCTTGCAGTAATATGTCATCTTTAAACAGTTATTATTGTTCATGAGTTTAACTAATCTGCATACAGTACGAGAAGGGATTTCCTTTTTAAGTATCTACTCGTGGTACTTACTGCAGATGAGTCACAGTATCAATTATTCAATTTAATTTGTAGTATACCTCACAGTTCTAAATGTCTTTTTTTTATCTGCAGATATTTCTCCTTAAGACACCGACTATATTTATGACTTCTGTTTAATTATTAGTCACACTGCACTTTCCTAGTGATCTTGGGTTAATGTCAACATACTATTAGTGTTTTGTCTCAACACGACGAAGTCAAAAAAGCGAGACTTAGGCATCTTGTTTCTGACGTCGGCGACGGAGGCGGTGTCAACAATGTTTTACTTTGTGGTCAGTTTATGGGGACCTATACTGGTGGTAGATCAATATTGTCTTGTGCAGTTGTATGAGCATTGGCACCTCTCGATCATGGTCTATTGCCTTTGCAACTTTTGCTTAATTTACATTAATTAGTTTGTAATTAGGTGAGTTTAAGGGGAAAAGTAAAATAACAAAAATAACGAACTCCAAGGAAAATTCAAATCGGAAAGTCCGTTATCAAATGGCAAAATCAAAAGCTCAAACACATCAAACGAATGTAAAACAACTGTCATATTCCTTGCTTGGTACAGGCATTTCCTTATGTATAAAATGGTGGATTAAACCTGGTTTTATAGTCAGTTAAACCACTAGTGGTAGGTCAATGATAGTTGGCATGTTATATAGTATAGACACATCTCATATCGCTGGATATTGTTTTGTCCGACCCCTTTAGTCATGGTCTATTGGCTATAAATGTTTTGTATAGTTTACATTCATGTTTGTGATTAGTTCAGTTTGGTTTAAGACGAACCACTCATTTTAAGTCAATGATATTTAGTATACAGTTGTATTACCTTTTGCAAGTCTCCTTTCCATTGTAATAACTAATTTCCTTTATGATTCAGACATGTTTTGTTTTATTTCATTTTGAAAAATATCAAAATATTGTTATTGTGTATTTTGTCTTTTACGTATTTTCAAACCATTTCAGTCTTAACCTATATGAAAAGACTGAGCAATACATATATAAATTAGTATTTAATGTTCAATTTTTAATATGAAAATATGTTGATGTGGTATGATTGCCATTAAGACATCTATCAACCAGAGACCAAATAGCGAGGATGTGTACAATTACTTTAACAATGTGCAAAAGCGAAGCGCTTTTCTGGATTTAACTTCATCAGATACGCTCAAAGCTGAATATTTGAAAGCCAAGGATGTATGAACCGAAACAGTAAACTGTTGAACAGCTATATGACCTAAACAAATAGCCAAGTCCTATTAACTGTTGAGAGTCGGGATAAATATCGTATTGCATGAGTTTCACCGATGGAATCTGTTTCTCTAATGATATTTGACTACATATAAAAAAACTTTATCTTCTTTTTTTTCAATAATTGCAAAAATATGTGTTCTTTATATGTTACATCATCAGGCATGGTCGCCTTTTTTCGTGACTCCGGAATAGGAAATTCATAGGAAATGAAGAAATATTGACGCAACAGTTGAATTTTCACTACTGACCTAATCAAACAAACTATACGTTGATTATAAAAAAAAAGTAATCGATCGGTCGAAAAAAGTATCAATCGGGCAAAAATTATAGAAACATGTATAATACACCTCTGCTTAATACAGTTTCAAAAGTAAATAAAAAAGTATAAAATGCAACTTCACTTGATAAAAATCATAATTCTGACTACTTGTTGTCTAAAACTCGATCATCCTACCACGTACCTTGGACAGTGGTGTACCATCATAACATACGAATCAACTGTCCAATTCAGTCCATTTTCAAACAAGTTCTGTCCAGACACTTCAATAACACCCAATTAAGATCTATTCAGTAATTTTCAGAATGTTTAGCATAGATTATATATCCATGTGCTAAACAATCAAATATAAACATCTAAAATGGGAATAAACAGAAGTGGATTGACTGCAAACGAAATGTCTGAAGAGAGATTATCTCTTTTTACTTCATCTGAATTTACTTAAATACTTATTAAGGAGACAGCATATTTAATAAAATGTTCAGACATTTTAGACGATGTTAAGACAATGGGCGTTTCTGACTTTTAATCATTTACTAGTGTTAGTTTTGGTAAAATCTACAGCGTTTGTCAGCTGTATAAATTGATAAATGTGTACACAATAAAACATGTCAAAAGCAGATAAAACCTTCGGGGTTCAGCAGTCCACCAAATGATACATTAGATTGCATTGCAAATGCTCACTATGTACCACCAAACGATTCTGCCTCCAAATGCTGATGGTCACTATTTGACCATGTATTGAGAGAAAGAGAACGAGAAACGATTAAAACTAAAGGATGTAGACAGTCAGGTCAGGCCTAAAACAGTTTAAAGGATTAATTATCGCATATCTCATTTTATTTCAGGGGCTCACACTAACCATTAGACACCTTTTCAACTCCCGGTACATATGTAATACTGTACAGAGTATATAATTCGCCGTCCTAACTCCCGGTACATATGTAATACTGTACAACATATGATTCACACCCACTACTAGACGCCTTCCCGACTCCCCTCAAACGGCCTTATTACAGACTTAAACAAATTGTTGACGCCAACAAAAACAGCAGGCTTTAGTCTCTCCTCCGCGACTTCGTGGAGGCGAGACAACAACCGAGTTTAAACCAAGAGACAATATTTAAGTTTGGTAATGATCAGATCAATGGTTCAAACAAATACTTTACCGGAATGTCAATCTTTTATGCATAAAAGATTTGTAAAATTCTGGCTCAAAAGATACTGTTAAATTTTCCCAAAATATCTATAGACACTGATCTTGAGCTTCGACCTAATAACATAAAAGACAATACATGTATCTTCTTTATTCAAGGTGTTCTCGTAAGCAAAATTTGGTAAAGGAATGACATGGTTCCAAAGATATTATCTGGAAACAAAACATTTGTCCTAATGTCAGTCTATCAATGGCTGGTGTGTCCATGACCTTTGTACTAGTGTCTTCTAACCCAAAATTAGGGGATATTCCTCACACATTGTACATTATCAAACTAAGAGCGCTAGAAATTGTGTTCATGACTCCAAAAATACTAGCCGAAACCTAAATATTGACAACCGCACATTTGGACACAAAAGGCTGTACCCGGATACAATATTACTGCCTGCATGGTATTCTATGTGCTGGTTTGAAAGTGTACTTCAATGATTCTCAAAATGGTAAAAATGTTTTTAATAATTTTATATTTAATTTTATCAAGCAATAAAAACAAAATTTGATAACAAATACAATATATATCATTGATCACGAGGATTTCAATGCCGTATATAACTTATAAACAAACAACAATCCATCCAAAGACCCATGTACAATTTGGCAAGTATGGTGGCGTTTCATATCAAAATATATTCATGCTACTCTACTTCAAGATGGATTTTTACTTTTTCATTATAACCATTTAAACTTCAACAATTCAATTGTCATGCTAAATAAATCTGATAAACATATGCATATTTGTTTCTTCTACAAATGCATGTCTGTAGGGAAAATTAAATAAAAAAATACAGTTAAGAATTCTTCTAATAAAATTTTCTATCAAAAAGTTTTTTTTTTATTTTCGAAAATCTGACCATTTGATAAATTACCAGTATCATGTACATATATACAAATAAATAACAAAATAATCAATAGCGTATAGGGATCTTCTTATTTTGTATATTAAATATTGCTACATGAATTTACAATACACGTCTGTTTGTGTTTTATATACATAGCACCATTAACATAGCTGAAATATACATTTTTGTCTAATATCACATACAACAATATATATATATACAATGGTTTATAAAACATTTTAAAGCACTATCCAAAACACATGCGATTGTAACAGAAGACATGTTATAATATAGTCTGCATGATACAAGACATGTCATAATGTAGTCTGCATGATACAAGACATGTCATAATGTAGTCTGCATGGTACAAGACATGTCATAATATAGTCTGTATGAGTATTGATACTTAGGACGAAATAGCGAAACAAAGTCATCAAAAATACATCGAGATGTTCTGACAGGAGGCTGGTTCTTGTTCCATCTCGTTTTGACATCAATATAAGAAAGGGTTTTCCGGGAGGAGAGTTTTATTCCGTTTTGTTTTAACTGTGATGTCCTCCTTATCACCTTCCCCTCCCGTAGCTTCCATCAGTTCATTAAACAAATCAAGTGTATCCTGACTGGATAACGTGACCTCCATTGGCTTACGTCTTGTATAATGACTATATCTTTTATTGTTTGCATACCCTTCGTCATCAACGCGATCCATCACGCGATCATACAACACGCGCCTTTGTTCGTCTGCGTAGAAATCAATTTCGACAACCCGCGTGACAATTGCTTGATTTTTCCGCCAAACATGGAACTCGTAATCGATTGGTGTAAGTCTTTCTGCTGTCACTATAACCGTGATGATAGCTTTTCCATCTCTCATTTCCAAGTCAACATTTTCGGTAACTGTATCGTAATTTGAAGTCGTGATCAATTTCGAACTCGTGCCGTCTGCTTGCTGAAGTGGTGGATCTCCATAAATATCCTCGTGGTGGTGTTTGACGTCCAAGGATTGTCGAATGTCTTTGGCGTCCATTGTGGAGAGTCTGGCAAGCAGTAGATTGGTTAAGTTTTGTTTTGAACGCGGTGCCCTTCGTCTCTCACCATCACCAGCCTTTCGAGTAACTAAAAAACATAAATTCAACTTTGCATCAGTTTGGTTAATTTTGCTTTTAAGAAACATTGGAAAGACGGTAGCCGATGTATTTGTTTTTTAGAATGAAAAGAAATCTGCGTGACGTTTTGTTTAATAATTCCTTTAAAACTAAATTGAGAGTTTTGAAAAAATGCATATCAAAATGACCCTGCTAATAAGATGACGGTTAGGAGGATTACACATGTTTAAAAATACGTTGACATTTGTTTTGTTTTTTGGTGTTTTTTTTGCATTTAGAACTTGATTTTAGTCCAATGAACTGCACTGTAATGGAGGAAATTGTTAGAAATACTAATAATCGAAAACGTAAAAGATACTCCGTCGTCAAATGTAGTACCCTCCATTCCTCCCCCCTCAAAATAAAATGTCATGTATATTTAGTTATATCGATTTGTCAAGATAATTATGAACCACCTGGTGGTCTCGTGGTAGCGTGCTCGATCATGGGTTCAAACCAAAGCCGGATCGTACCAAAGACTTTAAAATTGGTATTTGTTGCTTCTCCGCTAAGCACGCGCTTTAAGGAGTGAGGGCAAAGATCGGTCGGCTCGGAGTCAGAATAATGTTTCCTAGTAAGATGTCTTCCTGTGGACTGTCACATGAACTAGCACATTAAAAATTCGACTCAGTGTGCTGGTCTAGTACAAAACATGTTCCGTCCTGAATATGTATTTGATCTGCCCCCGCGACGTATATATGTTATATGTTTTTTTTTCTACAAGTCATACAAGTTTGTTCTCATTGTCGGATTTTTGTTTTTCTGGACATTTATAATGAACATCATGATAAAAGCACATTTCATAACAGATAGTAATGAATGATAAAATTCTACTCCCAGACAGTAATAAGTTATCAGTAAACAAGCTTTATAATTTTCGATTGTACTTAATTATGAGGGATAATCCAGAAAAACGGCCATTTTGTATGGAATAAATTTTGCATCTTTTGTTTTAATACTGCCTGTTAATGCTAAGAGCTTCAAAAGTCAAACAAGTAATATTCAAACGGAAACAAATTACCTACAGACTTTCAGAACCGTGCACACTGAAGGTTTTTACTCGTAGTTCAATCATTTCGGCTTTGAATGCGTGCCTTCTATACTTTTTCGTTTCATTATAAACTTTCGCAATTTATAGACTTATGTTTGACCTCATGGAATTTAAACGTTTGAGAGATTAACGATTCAGTATCTGAATGTAGTCTTCAATCGTGGCGGTTTAAGTATTCAAAATTTTAACCTTTATTGTTAGTCAAACAAATAATTTTATTTTATGGACACACTGACCTATTTGTGTCTGGTCACTTGAATTTACTACGTACTTACGTCAACAAATGTTTGTCTGTCTAAATGCATACAGATACGAAAACTTAAAGATAATTTAACAACTAACAATTATATTTTGTGACACGCCATGCTTGATTAAAGTTTTGCAAGTGTTAGTAATTGCTTTGCATCAAAACAACTTATATAATAGCACATAATAGTTTTAATGGTTTTCGTCATAGTTAGTGCATTGAGCTAGACTTCCTCTTTATGTAAATCTAAGCTTGAACTCCTCGTCCCTTCTTCGTGGTTGTCTATATGTTTGAAGCCCTCGAACCTCTTCAAGTACGTATATGCTTGAATCCATTGTTCCCACTTTATCTTTGTCTGCATGTTTGAAGCCCTCGACCCTTTTCGTGTGGGTCTATTTGCTCGAACCCCGCGTCCCCACTACATCTGTGTCTATACGATTGGACTCCTTGAATCCTGCTCTATTCGTATATGTCTATACGATTGGATACCTTGAATCCTACTCCATTCATGCATGTCTATATGTTTGAATCACTCGTTCGTCTTAAACAAGAATGAAATATTTGTCACTGGGCGTTAAGCAACCAACAATCAATCAATCGTTTGAACCCCTCGTGCCCTATTCATGTATGTTTATATTCATGAACCTCTCGTCCCCTACTCATGTATGCATATATGCTTGAAACTCTCGTCCCCTATTCATGCATGTCTATATTCTTGAAACCCTCGTACCCTATTCATGTATGTCTACAATTTCTATTTATATATTCTTAAACCCCTTGTCCCCTATTCATGTATGCCTATATGCTTGTAAACCTCGTTCCCTATTCATGTATGTCTATATGCTTGAAACCCTCGTCCCTTATTCATGTATATCTATATTCTTGAAACCCTAGTCCCCTATTTATGTATGTCCATACGCTCGAAATCCTCGTCCCCTATTCATGTATGTCTATAATTTCTATTTCCATATGCTTGAAACCCTCGTCCCCTATTCATGTATGTCTATATTCTTGAAACCCTCGTCCCCTATTCATGTATGTCTATATGATTGAACCCCTCGTCCCCTATTCATGTATGTCCATATGCTTTAAACCCTCGTCCCCTATTCAAGTATGTCTATATACTTTAAACCCTCGTACCCTATTCAAGTATGTCCATATACTTTAAACCCTCGTCCCCTTTTCATGTGTGTTTATATACTTTAAACCCTCGTCCCCTTTTCATGTGTGTCTATATGCTTGAATCCCTCGCCACTAGTCATGTATGTCTATATGCTTGAAGCCCTTGTCCCCTATTCATGCATGTCTATATACTTGAACCCCTCGCCACTATTCATGTATGTCTATAAGCTTGAATCACTTGTCCCCTATTCATGTATATCTTTATTCTTGGAACCCTCGTCCCCTTTTCATTTATGCCTATATGCTTGAAACGCTCGTCCCCTATTTATGTATCTCTATATGCTTTAAACCATTGTCCACCTTTTCATGTATGCCTATATTCTTGAACCCCCTCTTGTCCTATTCATTTATGTCTATATACTTGAACCCCTCGTCTCCTATTCATGTATGTCTATATTCTTGAAACCCTCGTCCCCTATTTATGTATCTCTATATGCTTTAAAACTTCGTCCCCTATTCATGTATATAAAAAAAGAAGAAGTGGTATGATCGCCAATGAGACAACTCTCCACAAGAGACCGCATGACACAGAAATTAACAGCTATAGGTCACCGCACGGCCTTCAACAATGAACAAAGCCCATACCGCATAGTCAGCTATAAAAGGCCCCGAAATCACAAATGTAAAACAATTCAATTGAGAAAACAAACGGCCTAATTAATGTACAAAAAAAAATGAACGAAAAACAAATGTGTAACACAGCAACAAACGACAACCACTGAATTACAGGCTCCTGACTTGGGACAGGCACATACATACAGAATGTGGCGGGGTTAAACATGTATGTCTATATGCTTGAAACCCTCTTGTCCTATTCATTTATGTTTATATGATTGAACCCCTCTTATCCTATTCATTTATGTATGCTTGATGCAAATATGATAGAAAAAAATCAAAGAAGATAAAAATTATAAATATCAAGATGATAATTGGTCACCTCAAGCCAGAAGACGGAGAAATGATCGTGTTTTACACATTTTACCGTTTCCAATAATTAGTAAAGACCTTTATAAGTTAAGCTGTAAAAGGCCAGTAAATCTAAGTAAGGGACCTATTTTCTATAGTAAGAGATCTAGAGCAACAGTATATTACTGGCTCCTATATGGTTTGGAGCACGTACATCAAGTATTGGGCAGGAATTTTAATGTTTTTACGTGCTCAAACCTCTTCCAACCATGGGACAGTGATATAACAGAAATATATTACTACATAAAGTAAAATCAAATTTCAGATATAATTGAGAAATAATTCATTCATGCCATGCTCTATGCTCATTTTAACATGGGTAGGCATTATATTTGTCAATATATTAATACCGAGCGTTAGCGAGGTGTTAAATGTTGACAAATATAATACCTGCCCATGTTAAAATGAGCATAGAGCATGGCATGATAGAATTATTTCGATTCTAATAGGAAAATTTTTGACTTTTTTACTTCGAAGCGGACCTATAATACACGCTCGAAAGGCAGCCATTTTGATTTGATGAACCAAATACGCTACAGAAAATCAACAGTTTAACGATAGAAAATGAACAGATAATTTAAACTTACTCCTAGAATGATTTTACTTAATTTCCTAGCGAGCAACACCAACAAAAATGTCCATTTTGATCCCCGGCGTTATTCAAAAATTCAAAATTTCAATTGTGACGTCAATCACGTGCAACCCATGTTTTATTGGAATTAGAACATAATAGATATAGGAAGATGTGGTATGAGTGCCAATGAGACAACTCTCCATCCAAGTTACAATTTATAAAAGTAAACCATTATAAGTATGTATACAAAGCCAAAGAAGAACGTCATATTAGAATTTTATAATTGTATATACCTGTTTTATAAGCTGCATAAACCGTTGGAGGCGTAAAGGAATTATAATTTAAGATATGCTGCATTAAAATATTCAGGAATTTTGATATGAATAAAAAAAAGATATGTAACAAACGTCAGTGATACAGACACCCAACAACGAAGCGTTACCAAGCATAGATAAAATTTTGAATTAATAAAGAATGATCTGGCAGATTTAATACGTTATTTGTGCATTAAATGCATGGTATGCAGTGTTTACATAAGGATTTTATATGAAAGGCAAAGTGAAGAAAGAAGTAGGAGTAAAATACTTCGTTTGACTACCCGAGTGTATACAATCGTATTTTGAATGTTCCACTCTGTCAAATTATATCAAGGTAATCTTTTATTAATAGTGTGCACCTACACGTCCCCTTTCAAAACATGTATTCAAAGCATATACTAATGTGAAATGATGTTTACACTTATGTGAATTTTAAATTCATTATTTATAACTTGTGATTCATTTATTTATTTAGAACACGGTACACAGGAACATGTCAAAAATACAAAATTAGAATATTAACCGTAAAAGATAACTATTGATTTTTTACAGTTTTCCTGCCGAAGGTCGGTGGTTCTCTCTGGGTTCTTCCATCAATAAAAACTGGCCGCCATTAAATAGCCTAATAGTGCTA